CACCTGGACGGGAGGGAAGGAGGCCGACGCCGGGGCTTCTGCCGTTCAGACGGCGGGCGGCCGGATTCCTGGGACCCTCGGGGGTGGGGCCGGGGCGCGTGTCCGGGGGCTCTGAGGGGGGCAGGTCGGGTTATTTGTCCCCTTCGCGGGCCGAGGTCCTTTCTGGAGTCTCCGTCTCTAATCCGGCTTCCTCTATCCCGGAACCCCCCAGATGGAGACCTTGGGAGTCCGGAGGGTGTGGGGGTTCCCGACTCTCGCCCCCTCTCTGGCCATCCCCAGTCTCTGTCTCCGCCTCTCTTTCTCTGCGTGAAACCAGAGTTCCAGCCCCACCTCTGCCCCTCGTCCCGGGGCTTGGGCGTATCGCCCCTCCCACCGCTCCGAGCCTCAGTTTACCCCGGACAGATGGGCGCCGGGACACGGGCTGCGGGCCCCCGAGTCTTGGGTGCGACTGCGCTCCCTCCCCTGCAGGGGGCGGCAGTCTCTGCCTCCTGAGAGGGATTAGCGTTCCCCGCCCAGGTGGGGCCGGGGACCCCGCGGGGTCGCCGTGCCGGGTTTCTGGCTGGCTCCGGGCTCCGGGCAGTGGGAGGGGCCGCTCCGCAGGAAATGTCCGCCGTCCGGGTTGCTGTTGTCTCCGGCACCTTGGGCGGCTGCGCCCTCCAGGGAGGGAGGGTCATTGTGAAATGGAGGAAACTCCTCTCCCAGCCCGCCAGGGCTCTTCCTGAGGAGGTCCCGTGACCCGGCCACCTCAGTGTTCCTTTCTGCGCAGTGGGAGCGTCTCCTCCGGGGCATCGCGGTCTGGCTGCACATCTCAGGCAGGAACAAACCTGTCCTTTCCCCAGGGATGAATCGAATAGACCCTGGGCTTTGATCCTTCTTTCCCAGCCCACGGCTGGTGACAGGGCAGATTCTGGAGCCAGTAGACCCAAGGCAGGAAAGCAGGCACCACTAGGTGAGGCTTGGGTCAGGTCAGCCGCCAGCTTCCCAAGCCTCAGTTTCTCCATCTGTCGGATGGAGCTGGCACAGGCTCAGGGCTCAGGAAACAGTAACAGACTGTGGGACAGTCTCTCTAGAATATTGAGAGCCGTGCCTGGGTCCATTCACTCATCAACTGTCTGGGGCATGCCTCCCCTTGTGCCATAAACTGGGGCCATGGAACAGGAGACAAGCTCTCTGCCCTCCTACTGAAGGTTCTGGTGGGGAGGGAGACCGGAGAGACAGAAAGAGCCACAAAGGGGTGGGAACTTTGGAGATGGATGGGACTGGAGGAGGCTTCATTCTGAACTCCCTTCCTTCTTCCATCCCCCTCTCAGAGCCCAGGCAGGGGAGCCCAGGGGTGGGGTGGGGACCTGTCCCAGGGGGAGCTGTGCACTGTGCTGAGAAGCAGTTCTAGCTCTGCTCCGTACAAGCTGACGGAATGATGAAGGCTGCCCAGCGAGCACCTAGAGCCTGGGCCAGGCACCGGGTGGGGCAGAGGAGGGAGGCCCCCACTCTGCAACGTCTGAGGTCCCCAGAGTCCTCACATGTGCCCCATCCACTGTCGGCCTGCTCAGGGGGCTTTGTGGCCACTTGGCTGCGCTGGTAGCCGTTTCCCCTGGCTTGAGGCCCCAGGAACCTGACTCACAGGGGGGGGCCAGGCCCAGGCTCACCTGCTGCGCAAGCACTTTCCCATGCCCCATTCCATCTTAGCCCTATGGGGCCTGGGAGGCCAGCCAGGACGGCCAGCTGCCTTCCTCGGAGCACACAGCCCCTGAAGTGAGTGCCTTGCCTGTGGGCACCCACGTGGAAAGAGAGAAACTAACTCACTGGAATTCGGGGTCTGAAGCTCTGAGCTCTGCTGTAACACTGTAGGCAGGGTTGATCTTCCAGGCCCCGGCGTGTTCCCTCGGGTGGCAGGTGCCCTCCCCAGACTTGGGGGTAGGCCATGCACCCACAGGCTTTTTAATATTACTAGTAGAAATCAGCAAATGAATGAATGCACTCTCCTTTCCTCCATGAGCTCCAAATGCTCTTAGGAGCTTGCGTGTCTCTTACCAGAGCCTGGTGAGATCTCCTTAGTCTCTTTACCACCCGTCTCAGGGGCTTGTCACCAGAAGCAGAGACTCAGAGACCTTCCCAGCCCAGGCAGACCCCCGAATGACCCCTAACCCTGGATGGAAGAAGTTTGCTGGAGTGCCACTGTCCTCAAGGGAACCAGTCTTCCTGATTTGATTCTCAGGCCCCAGGAACCCCGCGGCTGAGAGCCAGCTCAGTGTCTAGCCTAGGGCCAGCCCCTTGACCTCAGCTTCCTCATCTGTCAATTGGGGAGAAAATCGCTCCCCTGTCTGACCAAGGACGTGCGGAAGAGATGAGCTGAACCTGTCAAGCAGACGGGCAGGCTGAGACCCCACAGCGGCACCTCCTGGTCAGAGTGTGGAATTGCAGCCTAGCTCTGTCCGACACAAAAGAGGGCCCCAAAGTGGTAGGGGTTGCAGCCCTGCAATGAGGAAAGCCCAAAGTCAGAGAGAATCCTTCTGGCCTCAGTGGAGCTAGGGTTTTAAAAAACTATAACGGGGCGCCTGGGTGGCTCAGTCGTTAAGCGTCTGCCTTCGGCTCAGGTCATGATCCCAGGGTCCTGGGATCGAGTCCCACATCGGGCTCCCTG